AACCTTAATACTAGAAAAATCTAAACTAAAGGATAATTATCATATTTTACCCCCGAAGAATACCTATAATAATACATAAAATAATATATAAAATACCTATTAAAATTAGAACCTATTATTTATAAATAAGATAGAATTATTAAAATACCTTATTAAATTATCGGAATAACCTATATAATAGAATAAGGTAATCTATTCCTTATAAAGATCTTAGAATATAATAAATAATTCCTAAGCGATAAAAGAATAGATAAATAATAAATATTAGAGGAATTATAATATAATCTTATATGCGAAATATATAGTTATTAGTTATATAGATACTAAGGAATTAATAAAACCCTAGAATAAATTAAAATAATATATATTTTTCTTAATATAAAGAAAACTATTTTAATAATTATTAGCTAATATAACCTTTATATAAAAACTAAGGCATAATGCTATAAACCCTATAATAAATTATAACCCTTATTAATACCTTAGCTATTATAAGAAACTATTATAATAGACTTTATTACTAAATTACTCTTATTAAAAGAATTAGCTATTAAAAACTTCTATAATAATATTCTTATTATTATAGATAGATTTATAAAATTTTCTTATTTTATGCCCTATAAAGAATTAATAATAACTAAAAAATTCGCTTACCTCTTTTACTTTTATATCGCTAAGATATATAATATATTACTTAAAATTATTATAAGTAAAAGATTATTATTTACTTCGAAATTTTAATAAAGCCTTATAGGATATTTAAGAATTAATTATAAACTCTTTATTATATATTATAAGGAGATAGATAAATAAACTAAATAAATAAATTAAATACTAAAATAATACCTTTAATATTATATTAATTATAAATAGACTAATTAGGTTAAGAAGCTACTAGTTATATAACTGGCCTATAATATAGCTATAAATAAAAGCATAAAGATTATATTAATATATATTAATTTTAAATTTACCCTAGATACCTACTAATAGATAAGAGATATAATTATTAACCTTAAGGTAATCCTTATTAATAATTAATTATAAAACCTATATAAAGAAATAAAAATAAAACTAAAATTTATTAGAAATAAGATAATAAAATATATTAATAAAAAAAGAATTAAGAGATTAATTTTCTTAGAGAGAGATATAATTTACCTTATAATAAAAAATATTAAAATAAAATATTAAAATAAAAAACTTAATTATAAATATATTAAACCTTATAAAATTAAATAAAAAATCTTAAGATATAATTATAAATTAGACTTATTACCTAAGGTTAAGCTTTATCTAATTTTTTATATTTTATTACTTAAATTAATATAAGATATTATCTAAGTAAAAATAAATAATAAGCCTAATATAGAAATTAATAGACTAAAAGAATATATTATAGAGATTATCCTCGATATAAATAAAATTAATAATAAAATAATATATTTTATTAAATAAAAAGATTACCTTAACTTAGAAAATATATAAGAATCCCTAGAATACCTTATAGGTATATAATACCTTCTAAAGAATTTTTATTAATAATACTAAATATAGGCTTATTAAGACTAATAGTATTCTAATTAATTAAATTAATAGCCCTAAAAGAATATACCTCTATAATAATAAATAATTCCTCGCGGAGCTTACCTAACTCTTTTAAGGCATATAGGCTATGCTTAAAGGCCTTATTACTATATACTTTAAGTAATCTCTTCTATTTCTAGATATAAGTAAGCTTAGCTATTACTTCCTCTAAGGTAGCCTTTATCTTAGCTTTCTTATCTTCTAGGCGCTTATATTCTTAGATATTTTTTATAATTATAGAAAATTAGCTAATAGCTATAAAGGAGTATTTATATATACCTATAGAAAGAAGCTATATTAGCCCTATTATATATTATTTTTATATTAATATAATTAAAATAATAATTAGAATAATTAGAAATTACCTTATAAGATAAGCCCTAGCGGAAGTAATAAATATAAAATATAATTTTAGAATTAAAAGCCTTAATATAAGTAAAGAGACCTTATACTTTAGAAAGTTTTTATAAAGAAATATACTTAGAAACTTAGCCTAATATTATATTAATAAAAAGAGATTTTTATAAGTTAGAATTACTTACTAATAATACTTAGTCGCTAAAATTAGTCTTAGGGATAAGATTAATAAAGGGAGAACCTTATATTATAGCTATAATATAAGCTAAATAGGGAAATATAATAGAATTATTCTAATTAAATAAGGGATTAAAGGGATTAAATATCGCCTATATCGATCTAGGGACTAAATATTAAAGATATTAGTCTTACCCTAGATTAAACCTAGAGAATATTAATCTAAAGATTAACTATAAGTATATAAAATACGCTTATTATGCTCCCTTATATAGTAGTTACCTTAGCTATTAATATAACTTAGTTATACTTAATACCCTTAAGTATATTACTAAATGTAATATTATATTAACCTTTAAGGTTATATAATATAATTTAGTGCTAATATAAACTAGTATGACTGGTTTATCCCTTAGGAAATATCCTCTCGTCATAAGAGTAACTTTATTTTTACTCTTTTTTTTTTAAGTTTTTCTTATATAGTTAAAAATATGCATTTTATATAGGGCACTTGTTTTTTTGCTTAGCAGTAGGTGGGTACTGTTAAATGAGCATGTTGTGTTAATTGAAGAGGAAGAAAGACTAGTGCTAACTACCGGAAACTATTGACAAGAAGACACCCACATCCTCGCCACCAATGGATCGGAATAGCCATTGATCCGTTAAACAATGGATCTCAACAGGTACTGCATGGTAAGGCCCCAAAGGGCCTCTCATTGAGATCATATAAACTTAACCAAGAATGATTACAATCACAACAACAAGAACTACCTTTTGTCAAGTGCACTCAGCATCCCTGCGTGACACAACAACAGGGGCTCGGTAAGGCCGGGAGGCTCAACACAACTCAAGGGATAGTACATAGAAGACTCAATGGCCAGAGTCGTTGCCGTTGTCGCGCCAGGGCCGTCCCAGGGGGTGTAATCAGAATTGTCTTTTTGGGAAAAGGAGAAACAATCCTACGCCCCGTCGTGAGAGGGCTAGGGTGCTGCACTACGTCGTTAGAAGCTGACAAATAGGGCAACGTCGTTATAATGCAGGGCTGCTATTGTAATACAAGAGTAGCCAGATGAAACGGACACCCAAGCTTGCACTGCAAATGCCGAGTTCGAGGTACCTGAGGCCTGATCTGTGACCCAGAAAGTTGTTGCTTACTAAAATTCGGAAAGCTCCTGGAGAGGTTTCATATTCAGATCAAATTGTGGCTGTTCAGTCCACTCGATTCCCTTTCTGGGACGCCGTTTCGTTCGTTGCTCGCATAAGCTGATTCTAGAGCTGAGTGCTCTCCGTCCTAGAAGTCGGCCTGTCGCAACTATCTTCCCATGAACAGCGCGGTGTCCGATATGCTTTACAACAACGATAAGGGGGCTGTTCCTTGCCGTGAAGGTCTTGTCAAGGCTTATCATAGTATCCTTGATACTCTTACTGCGCTTCTGACTCGGAAACTCATTGCAATACTATTATTACGCGCGCAGTGAACCTTACATTTCAACAAGTCAGCCGCTTACCTGATCGGGAAATTCTGATAGAATCATCATGTTGAAACAAGTAGCCGCGGCCAACACGGGGCAAGGCGAGAACTGCAGTTTGAAACGCGTCTGAAAGTCGCTTTAACGGGCCAGAGGATCGCCAATCTAGGACAGAGAAAGGACAACGTGCAGATCAGACCGCGAGAGAGGGTCGAACTCATATGTCCAGACTTGTCGTTACTTATTATCTCTTGATAGGCCGTGTCAAAGAGGGGTGGACTACGCCTACTGCCACAAGAGACCTCAAGACTTTTCAAAACACTCTGATCTGGGCTGGACGCTTCTGTAAGGACCCCTCAGTCCTCTGCGAAATGTGTTAAAAAGCTCTAGTCCTCACATATTAAGCACAAGACCTGGCCGTTAAAGTAGGTGTAAGCAGGCTTTGAGCGAAGTTGTGTTTCAGCTGACCTTGAAAAACAACATTAGGTTCTTGCACACTTTGCTAGGACATAGCAGCTCCAGGAAGCGAGTCCAGCTTATACGCAGCTACCAAGGCTTCCTTCACTAGCATAGTTCATGCGATTACGCATAGTCTAGGAGTGAACAATTGTCATGGCCGTTTCGGTATCCATATTGTTGGGGGTTCTTGAGTTTTTTTACTCGCTGACACAGCCACATGATGACTCTTCGGTAACGCATCAAAGACGAGTATATTCCATAAGTATGACATTCCTCAAGAGCCAAATGACAGCCTTAATAATTAGGAGGCCTGCCGTGCTATCTGGCCTACTCATCTAGGCCAAGTGTTTGGTAAACCATCTAACCAGCTGATCTTCTGCTTGATCCGCCATCTCCTTCTCAATCTTATTATTAGGGTTGCCCCTGACAGCGAAACCATGCCTTGCGTTGGGGATAATAACCACCTCAGTGTCCACATTCTTTTTCCCTTCAAGAATCTTGGCAGCTTCCTCCACCTCCTTTAGAGGCAAGGCAAAGTCGGCATCGCCAATGGACATGCTGTATGGAAGCTTCACACCTTCAAAGTCTCGAGGGACTTCTACCTCGCTCGGGTGGGCAGTGAAGGCTGCGTCAATGAGCGTCTTGCCGTTCCTCGCCAAGTCGCCGTGAGCCATGTGCGTGACACCATATGCACCCCAGCAAAAGCCCACCGCGCCGACTTTGAGGTCTGCTGCCTCAGCGCAGCGTAGGTCATCCATGAATTGCTGGATGCCCGGGTAGCGCTTCTTGGGGTTATTTCGAAAGTTGCAGGGCACCATGACCCATGCGGCCTTCAGTACGAGCCATCTGGGCCACATTACTATTAGAACAGTCAAAGCTGCGCGGTGTAGATCTTACGGTTTTGCCAGCCACCCCCATAGGCCTCCTTCAGTAAGGATCCTATCAATGACTGCCTTTGTCCATGCAGGTGCAGAGGTCCCTGAAACTGTGTCAGCCGCACAATCACAACGCAAAGAAAAGACTACCTCGGACTAACCATGCATAAAATCTGGAAGGTATACCCTGCAGCCAGTCCGCTCCGCGTATCTGTCTGCAACACCACGCAGGTTGGTTGTGTCCCATCCAAACACATCGGAAAGAATGACAATTAAGCCAGTCTGCGAAACGCCTTTGGTCTGAGGCTCTGCAATGTAGACATCGTGGCCATGGAGCTTGGCCTCACGTCCGTGGACGGGACCGGAATGATCATGTCCCGTGTAACAGTTGGCACACGGCATTTTGCCTTGGGAAGTTTTGATAAGGGGACAGCTAGGTTTGACGCATAGGAAGATTAGGGCAGACAAACAAACGACGAGGAGGCCTTGGATATCGAGTAGCCGTTGGGACAAGCCTGACCAACGAGGAATAATCTCGATGACACTCGGCCTTATTAAGGTTAGTTAAGTCGGTGTTGTGCGTTGCTAGCTCCGTCTCGGTGGGCATGGAGACTACCCACCCTACCTCATACAATACCCACTCGCCAAGGGGATGACATTAGGTGGCACCATTGCAACCCCACAACCTTCTTTCCGCCATGACGTTTAATTTGCATGATTTCCATTCCAAGCAACGGTTGTCATGCCCGAGCTTTACACAGGGTTTCATTAGGTATGATCGTGGTTCCAGTTCAACGTCACATATGATACATAATTCACTTTCGACGCAAAGTTACGGGGTTTGACGGCAATAGGCCCCAAGTGTTATTATGTTAAGATACGAGTCTATGAGAACATGACGGATGCTCTTCCTCGGAACCATCATCATCGCCTACAATAGTTGATATCACGCTGTAGGCTAGCAACATACCCTGTGCGCCATTGTAAAACTCTCTCATTGAATCTCTATAAGCGCAACTACCTATAAAAGTACACGCACTCTACCATGGGTTAGGAGCAATGTCGGTGTAGACTCTGAAGCCACTGTTCTTCTTGGCGTCCTGAAAGGCCGCATGGTGATCCTCCAAGCTGTACACCTTGTGCGCCGAACCCCCACGCTTGCCGAGCTTGAGGATCCCCGAGTTCACCATCTTGATGGTCAAGTCGATCCCTCCCCGTGAGACTATGACCTTGCCTATGATCTTGATGTTTTGGTGCATCACAAGCGTATATGGCACAGAGATGGACCCAGACGGTGCGCCGCTGAGGACAACCCGCCCTTCTGGCCGCACAGCGCGTATGGCGGCCGAGAAGTATGGGGAGCCCGTCAGAGCGCCCGATGCCCAGTCGTTGTATACCTCGACGCCGCGTCCATCAGGGGTGGCCTTGCGGATTGCTGCCGCGTCGACTTCATCATCGCCAGTCATGACAACATAACTAAATCGCTCATGGTTGCCGAGCTGCTTCGCCAGGCCAGCGAGCTTTTCCTCACTGCGACCAATGGCAATGACGTTGGCGCCCAGGGCGAGTGCCATATCAGAGGTGATGCCGCCAAAGGTTCCAGTGGCTGGTCCAAGTGCAATCGTTTCACCTGCTTGGAGGTTGGCAGCTTCGCATAACGCTCCAGCAGCGATGGTGTAGAAAGAAATCTCGTGAAGATCCGCGGGTGTGTAACCGAGCTGCTTGCACAGCCGATCCTCGTTCAATATAAAGATGTTCTCAAGCGGAACCTTTTGATACTCCTGCAAGGCGCCGTCTCGCCACTCTCCCTGCATGAGCCTACGGCCTCGCGGCCCCTCTCCGCCGTGGTGGCCCTGAATAATGTTGACGTCAGGGTCATCTCGGGCAAAGATGGGAGCCGAGAAGAAGACGAGGTCGCCAGGCTTGGCGAGGACTGCATCTGATCCGACGGCGTGCACCCGGCCGATATGGCTTGGATGGGGCACCAGAGGAAGAGAGAGGTTGAAGACAGGGAGCCTCCCCTGGTGGATGTCTTCGGCGTAAGGGAACACGACCGTGTTGAGGACCTTGACAACGACTGATCCAGCTGTTGCCTCGGGGACGGGGAGGTCAACAAGCTCCAAAGGCTTGTCGAACGAGGAGAGCCATAGGGCGCGGTTCTTGGTTACAGTCGAGTTGGAACTCATGATGAATCAGATAAGGTGGGATTGAGGAACAAGGCCAAGTCAAGGAAGTGAGAATTTAGAATAACGAACTAACAATGGAGGCATCAGGAGGAATGGCGGCCAAATATGGGCAGCCACCATGAGCTGCAAGCGCGCTACCTTTCGGAATGTGTACCAACCAACTGCCGTCGGTAATCTCGGGGCGGCATCGTAGAAGAACGGGTGGAGTCATTGCCACCAGTGAGGAAATGCCACCCATCCGTCCCATCCCATCCCATCCCATCCCATCCACTTTCCCCGCATCACCTTGTTGACCACGGTTTTGATACACCTCTTGATGACCTTGGCAAGCCATCGAATTGGGTAAGCTGAATAATAGGACTGGAGGTTGAAGGGTCCCCGGTAGCCGTGATGGGGACCACTCTTGTATACAAGCTCATCACTACTCCATTCCGAGAGTATTCGATACGAAGTAAAACTGATCCCGTCCCAGTTACCACAGCAGTGCTCCTAATCGTTATTATGATGAAAAGTCCATGCCTAAACTACAATAAATTCTTACACCTCACCATCCCATTCCATTCAAGTAGTCGAGATCTTTCAGATCCTTTTGGCTCGAAATGCCTGCTTCACTTAGCTCCAAGATGCCGAATAGATGCTTCCAGGCTTCTTTGTCGTGTTCGTGCGTCAGATCTGTTGCTGGCGTGTGTATATTGGTGGTCGAACCTGCGTCGTCCTCATGTCAGCCCTACCTCGAGCCGAATGCTGGTCGACTTACCTTCTGTGTGGCATGACAGTGACGGGACGGCAGAAGACACCAAGTCGTTGGTACCAGCCATGACATATTCTGGATATTCTGCCGGCGTTGGCAGGCAACCCGGGGGGAACTCGCAGCACAACGCCGGGGACTGGTGGTTCCCAGCAAGGTCTGGCCGTGCAAGATGCGAGTGGGGAGTTGAGCCGGCGTGGCTTGGCCTGGCGACTGCTCTGTCACCGATGGCCTGGTAACTAGTGAATATAGCAGGCATACTGGACATCACGAAATGTTTCGCAAACATCAATATGAGATGCATGGTTGAAAGGCCGATGACTTCTGTGCTTTGCGTGCTTGGTAGTCCGTGCTGCAAGGCAATAGCCCGTTGCGCCTTGAGGAACATCTCGGTGCTCTTGAAGGCAAGGTGAAGATTAATGAGTTGTGGTGATAATCTTTCCACGGCTTCGAGCTGATCCTGGCCTGGTAAAGAAGAGAGGACGCAGTGTTTTGGCAGTTGGTCATGCCAGCGGCTCAGTGCCAATGAGTGCTTGATGCAAAGCTCGTTTGATGCCAATGTATTTGACATGGCATCGTTGAGAATGCGAATCACATCAACATAGCGGTTGAAGATGCTTATTGCCCGCAATGGCTGATGCATGGAGCTACCATCGCTGGACTTGCCAGGATACACAGTCCGTGGCTCCCACTCATCCGGGCCTGTTTCTGCCAGGGTGGGCAGGAACCGTACATCTGCTGTCCTGAGATGGGGTGGCTTGCCCAACTGGCACGATACGATAGTATCGAGTACAAAGCAACTTAGGAGCAGCCGGCTCTGGTTGTCATCGCTGCCACAAGCGGCGTCTGAGCCTTTTCTGTCGAGATTCAACGTACCCAGATCAAGGCAAATTCTCACAGCTTGGCCGATTAGATGCCAGGAAGCTGAGAGTTCTCCCTGATCAAGTTTAAAGAGGCTCAAGATGAGCAAGGCCTGGACATAGCCGGGCTCCCGTGCCCCCTCGTTGGGTATCTGTTGTCTTGCCTTGGCGTAGATTTGCTCCGGCGTCGAGAGGGAGTCTCGATGGTTAGTTGGGCCAAGAGGGTCCGGAGACTCTTGAAGGGACGCGAGTGCGAGGACTGCCCAGAAAGTGGCCAGGTTTCCCCCTTCTCCCAGGGCGGTCCGTGAAGGCGAGTGCAGCAACTCCAGCATCTTGTGCTTTTGCACGATAGGCAGCCAACAATGGGTATGGGCAAAGTATATATCCAGCAGACGCTGAGCATTCTGAGGAAAGGTGGCTGATGCGGCATCTCTTTGTGATGGAGCTTGAGTTGCTATCGACTGTTGACCAGACGGTGTTTCTGCACTGTTGGTGCCTGCGGGATCAGAGCCGAGTCGAGCTCTATCAGCTGATGCACTCTGGATAGCCTCGAACGACCGGAGGTGAGGAGGAAGGTCCAAGGCAGAGCCCTGATCATTTTCGGTGGGGGCAGGATTTGCACCTGCATCGCTGCTTTCCTGGACATTTAATAAGAGCTGATCCAACTGTCCCTGGATACCACTGTCCTCCCAAGCCTGTCTCAGCATCTCCGGGTCTTTGATGAGCCTGCTGTCCATGACCAGCCTTGAGCGAGAGTCGAGGGCAAACTGGATCTCTGGCATGAGCTCTCCGACTATGCTCGTACTGTTGGGGATGACGGTAAACACGAGGGCCCATAGCAGCTCGAGAGCCCGCACATATCCAGTCGGCAGCCCGCGCTTCTTGATTCCCGAGCCGTAGCTGCATTGTTGGCGGGTGGCGGAGCACGATGAGCAAGCCGGGCGGCGGCCATCACATCTATGCTTCCGGGCACGGCAGTAGTCGCATGCTCGCGAGACTCGCTTTCGTTTGTTCAATCTCGGGCGATTGACGGGTTTGTCCATTGTAGGCGCGCTGGGAGGAGGTTGTCCACTCATTGTGAAGCAGATCAAGTGTGTCAAAGAGAAACGGAGCTCAAGATTGGCAGCCGCCAAAATTACCAGCTTCCTTGCAGGACATATCAAGCATGTGAAGGTGATATTGTAAGCTACTAGGCTGGCCACTGAGTAACCCCCCGTTAGTAGACATCGACCCCATCCACGCCACGGTGGGTATGTACCTAGTTACCTTGGGCAAATCATCCACTTGCCCCAACTCCGTAACGATCCGTGAAATCCCGGAGACACGATTATCTTATTCAGCGCTCGTGGGCTTGCTCATGATGTCATGCTCATGACTACTTGTTCAATTCTCCAATTCACACCACAATGGGATCATGACGCTATACATACTTGCAGGAACTGATGTGAGCGTGTCAAGTCAAGGGGTGTAGGCACAGTCAATGTTGATGCTGCTCGTAGCGTTGGATGCAGGCAATAGGAAATCTTAGGCATGGTTACTATCATCTATTGGCTCCTGTCTCCGTATTTCATAGAGCACGACTAGATCTCAGACATGGGCCTTGAGAAACTCGAAGCCCTTGGTCAAAAGATCGAACACACTGTCTCCAGGCTGTGCCCTCTCATCGAATCCATGCTGTCCTCCTCCAACAAGGACCAGTTCAGTCTCGACTCCGTGACTCTTGAGCTCATCATGCGCACGCTGTGAGAGACTCGCAGGCACTAGCCTGTCTTCGGTACCGTGGATGAAATAGGTGGGAGGGAAATGACCTTTGGTAAACAACGAGACCGGGTCCACGCGGTCATAGTTGTCGTCTCCCACAGTTGCCTTTAACAGTGTCCCTTTTCCCATCGACTCAAACATCCAGGCGACACGATGGCTTGTGAAATCAGGCCCAGAGGGCCCCATCGGAGGGGGAGCAGAGGTTGGGGGAGGCACATCTTTCCATATCTGGCCCACAAAATCTTGATCAAATTTGGGGCTACCTGGGGGTGCAGGCAAGGGAGTATGGTATGCTTGATCGGAGAGGTACTTGATACCGTACACGTCGAGAATGGCGAGAGGTGGGTGAGGTAAGCCGGCCTAGATACACGATGTGTTAACATACTTATTCTCATGTCACAAGTCATCCCAATTCAAGATGGGCCTCAAATTCCTCCACGCACCGTCAGGAGCGCCAGGGTGGCGCCGCAGGAATGCCCCAAAGTCACAATTCGCGAGCCGTCCACGTTAACGCCAGCGTCGCCCGAGAGCAGGTCAGGCAACGTCGTCTGCGCCCACTTGTATGCGTCCAATGCGTCCTTGACTGGCCCTTCAAACACGGTAATAGTAGGAGACAGTCGGTAGTTGGCGGAGACGACCACAAAGCCCAGATCGACGAGCTTTTCCGCCTGGTGGCGGATAAGCAGCTCTTTTGAGCCGACGGTGAAGTTTCCACCATGGAAGTGCAAAGCTGTAGCTCAGTGTCAGTCGAGAATGTGCCGACAGTGCAGCAGTTACGCACCGATTGGAAGCTTGGAAGCTACCGTAGCCTTTCTGAAATACACATCTGCGGCTATCGAGACCCCGTTGGTCACCTTGAACACGTACTCCTTGCGTGTGGCCATGTTGTTATGTCAAAGTCAGCAATAACGAGCTCGATCAACAGCTGGTACGTTGGGCGTGTATCATGATATTACACAGACCACACTATCCCAGATGCTTGTAGATGAACTGAGAGGAGGCGGGAGACTCTAATGAGGATCGTTTGTTACGCGCCACCTTCTACCCACCTCCCCACCTGCTTTGTGCCCACCCACCCCAAGTTGAACTAAGCCGGGGGGAAGCAAGTGTGTGTATCACATTACAACTCGTGCTAGCTAGGATTATGTGTACAAGAGGAAGAGGCCCTTTCTTCACTGTTCCTACAGATGCCTTCCTATTTACTCGATACAAGACCAAAGGAGTAGTGACTACTCAGTTTCCCTGTAGCGCGATAATCAGGTGCACAGGAACATTGATTGTCCCTGAATCTCACTTAGGGAGGGTAGCTTGTCGCAACGTGTATGGTGCTGTCGGCGTCTTTGAACTTCTTGATCAAGAACTCCAGTTTTTGCGACACGCAAGAAGGCCCTGTAACAAAATGGTCGTTTAGCATGTGCTCAAACTCATCGGCCACAGAGGAGGCCCTTACATTTCCACACCGAGCCGTCCGAGAGCAACTCGACGGACACGGCAAGGGGCAAGGTAGAGAGACGGTCTTGGACCTCTAATCGCAGCTCGGCAACCTCTGTAAAACTCTCATTTATCAGTGCGCTAAGGGCGTTGCGCGACTCGACCTGGGGGAGGCGTGAATGCGCAAACTGAAGGTACCAGCACAGCAGGAGACCTGGCTACTCGTCAGCCGCAGAACAAAGCTTAAGAAGGAAGGGGGGAAGGGTAGAAGTCGGCGTGTCATACCTCCCTCGTAAGCACCAATGGCGCTTTCAGGTCCGAATCTTATCGGTGCCATCTTTTTCAGGTACTTCAACCCCAGGCGGCAATCGTATCGCAGCTGATCTGCTGCACGGAAAAGCGCCTTGTAAAGTTCAGGTGAACTTCCATCATCTGAAAGGTGCGATATCTGCTCTGGATTATCCAGTGCAGCAGGTGACCAGAGAAGTTTCTTCATGGTTGCCAGTGGACTGCTGGCGTAAAGATGGTAGTAGACCGAGTTTAGCAAAGACTTGGCGAGGTGTACGGTCGGATCCGGGGCCAATCTAGAATCTGCTTCACCCATGCGGCGCTGTAGAATCTCGTCAAGTACTTGCACTGACCGTCCCATCTTCCCGCCAAAGTTTGTGTAGAGATCCGCGTGGTGAGAGCTTGTAAGTATCTCAAAGGAACAGACTCGGTAGAGTATTGCGGATATGATAGTGACGAGTCCAAATTCACTGACTGGCACAGAGGGTGCTTGCCCAGCATAGATGCTATTCAAGGCATCGTCGCTGTATATAGCCTGTGTGGGGATCTCCAGACTGGCCTCGTCCTTGAGCCAGTTTGCGGTGCTTGACGGGAGAGCAAATCTAGCTTCGACGACGGGGGACGCAAGCCACTCCTCCCGTTCCTTTGAACCAACCGAGGCCCCTATCAGGATCGTGCATGAGATACACCTAGTGTATTGTTAGCATTGCAGATGTGTGAATGCGGCCATCTCGAATACCTGTTTATACTCTCCTGGCGCACCCAATCCCTGTATGTCGTGACCTGATGCCTTTTCAGCTCGCCAAGTGCTTCTTGTGCTAGCTACAAACACAGCGTCAGTCTTGAAGAGGCCATCACTCGCAAACGGGACCTACCTTGATGGAATGTGGAAACGCATGGGTTGCCTTGCCCTCCATGCCGCAATGGATTTCAAAATAGCTCATGAGTAAATATGTCTGTAGCATCCAGGTCAGGGTCTCAATGTCGACCTGTTTGGATCCAACCATCCGTTCATGCTGGTTCTTGTGTTAGCAGGGGGAGTGTCTGGTGGTCTCGTATATCCCGCCTACCTCAAAGATGAGTTGCACCGCGACGGCGTGCATAGAGAGAGCGGTAGAGTATTCACCGAGATAAACGGCGCCGCAAGCCATTGTGGCAAGCAATAGGGGTGCTAAGTCGCTATGTGTCAACACTGCACTCTGCTTTCGATCATGATACCTACATGGTGCTGTAGAAATGTCAAAGGTGGGCTCGTGGATGACCGGTATATGCGCAGCAATGTGCTCAAAGAATGCTTTCACGAACCGCCTCACGGCATACTTGGAAGGGAATCGAAGAGACGCGAGGATGTAGACCGGATACTTGGCAAGGTTTGCCCAGGCGCTTGCACAGTTATTGTCGTCGGCGACCAAGTTCTGCCCGGTAACATTTCCATTGGCCTGCTCAGAGGTAGGAAGATTGGGCCTTGGTGGCTCCAGGATGGAAGCCGGAAGCTCGGGGGCATTGCCGCCTGGCATTTCACTCAGGAATTCCTGAGCATTCGCCAGCAGTGTGTCGAGGTCCATCATTTCAGACAGATTAGAGTTGATGAGATCGGTTTCCATGAGCGAACCATTGAACGTCAAGGGGCTCTCTGGGAGGAAGCCAGGAAACAGGTCTGCATCATCATGCGAGGGGAGGAAGCTGTCAAGTGGATTCTCCTGGCTGCTCTGAGACCCGTCCATCTCGTTGCCGGCTGGAGACTCGCGCTGGTCTTCGGCCGCATCGTTGGCTCCTTCTGAGTGATGGTCCTTGTCTCCTCGAGCTGTTGTGGTGGCGGGTGATGCCCGCGTAGAACCATTGGCCCGTGCCGCCGGCACAGAAGCTCCAGGGTGAGAGTTGGTCCGGCGCCTCCCCCGAAAGCGAGAGGTGCTTCTGTTGGCGACACCAGGATGGAAGTTTCTGGTGTGGCGGACGATGACATCCTTGCGCGACGAGGCGACGGGGCAGTACAGGCAGCTGTACGGCTTCTCGCCGTCGTCTGCAGGTAGGTATCGCGGTCAGCCATGGGCGGCGACAGGGGAAAGCGGAAAGGGCAACTCACGCGTCAGTTGATGGCGCCGTAGGTGAGCGAAACGATTGAACTTGGCATTGCACTGGGGGCAGGAGAAGCCGTACCCGTCTCGGTTAGAGGATTTAGCTGCATCGTCACGGCTCGTTTGCTAGGTAGAAGAGTTATCTTGACCAGACATATCAAGAGTCCATCGGGGCGGGCAGGCAGGTTGGATGTTGGGTGGGTGCGCTGGACTGATCAAGGTGGGAAATTGCGAGATAATCACCAGGAGGGGAGATTCTGGGGAAGACAAGTTCGAAATCAAAATGCGGGGAACGGCACCAGATTGCGGGGGTGGGTCCTAGATGGATCCGGTGTGGGGTCCGGCTCTTCCGAGGTACGGAGTAGAAGCTAGCGAGTCATAGGTACAGAATAATTGGGCCTTCCAGGGTCCTACTATTACGGCTGGAAATCGGCCTCCAGTGATTAGACGCCGCCGCCCGGGGAGACGGATATATAAACCAACCCAGTCCCGAGAAGGCCCTTGAGAGGAACACAGTGTCTATACCAGGCTCTACATACACAGACCGCTTCGGCATTACTCCCTCCAGGTAATGGTCTTATACCGAAGAAACTCCCCTAACCCCTATGCGGCATTAAACCTTCCATAGCCGCTCTTCTTAGCTCCCCCATGCACCAGTGAAGCCTCGTCATGCACAGTCATCGAGTTGATGTGAACCGCCCCGGACTCGTACTTCCTAGCGACCCTCATGGCGGCTTTTAGGTCCTCGGAGAAGACAGCCCCCGAAAGTCCATAGTCCGTATCATTTGCAACAGCGAGCGCCTCCTCCTCCGTTTCAAACGTGATTAGAGACACTATCGGCCCGAAAGATTCCGTGGAGTAAATATCCATGTCTTTAGACACGTCGGCAATTATGACGGGCCTCATCTTGGTTGGCTGGTCTTCGGCGGCCTCGGCATTTCCCACCAGGGTTATCGCGCCCTTGCTGACCGCGTCGGCGATCAGCCACTTATTCTTCTGCACGGCTACGGCATTGACGAGCACAAATGGCGGACTCTCGGAGCCGAAGAGCTTCTGCGTGGCCTCTTTGAGAGCGGCGCTGAAATCTTGCGCGATAGACTTATGCACCAGGATGCGCTCTGTCGACATACACACCTGGCCACCCTACAGGTAATCAATTGTGAGCAGGCAAGCAGCGGCAGCAGCGAGGAAAACGTCAACATACGTGGATGAAAGCGCCCACGGCGCAGCTAATAGCGGCCTTTTTCACGCCCGCGTCCTTTAGAACAATGGCGCTAGCCTTGCCGCCAAGTTCCAGCAAGAGCGGCTTCACGTGTTTACCCGCCAAGCTAGCGATGATGCTTCCGACAAGGGTGCTGCCAGTAAAGTTGATCTTCTTGATTGCTGGATGGGCGATCAGCGCTTCAGTGACGGCAGCCGCATCTGCCGGTCGATGATAGATTATGTTAAGGCAGCCGTCCGGCAGGCCAGCCTGTCGAAAGATATCGCCAATAGCCCAAAAGACGCGTGGGCTGAGCTCGGAACCCTTAAGGACCGTCGTGTTGCCTGTTGCAAGGGCAAACGCGACTGATCGTGCTCCCAGTACATAAGGAGCATTCCTGTGACGAAATCATCAACCTTGGTTCATACAGACGGAAGCAAGGGGAGTGTTTACGTACCATGGGGCAATTGCGAGCACTACACCATATGGCTCTTTGACCACGATTGCGTGTGAGCCCTCCTCTGCCGTCGCCGGAACTGATCCTTCGACCGCAGCTTCAATTCGCCCGCCAATATCCCTCAAGATCTGAGCCGTAGCATTGATGTTGATCTCCATAAACTGCCGCCCCGCACCTGTCTCTTGGCTCTAATAAGAGAACAGCTCTTCTTTCCTGCTGACAAAGAGGTCTGCCGCGCGGAGCAGGATGCCTCTCCGGAAACTCGGTTTTGTCTGGGACCATGAGGCAAAGGCTGCCTAGGCGACCTCGACAGCGCCAATGGCTTCGCTGTTTGACACGGACGAGGCATCCCAGAGCTTCTTGCCGGTGGCAGGGTTATTTACCGCAAAAGTTGAGGTTGAGGTGATATCTTTGCCGCTGATGATGAAAGGAACAGTGTTGCCAGTTTGCTCAGACGAGCCGTTAGCTGTCTCACTTGGGGCCATGTTTGTTTGAGGATGAGAATAGTCGAGACGAATGAATTGAATTAGTTTGGGATGCACGATGAATCTGAGAAGTATTTAGCACTGTTTATCATATACTCGCCCCATGGCTATTGATAGGACTTGCTGCTCTGTGACAAGGCAAGAACCGAGAATCAATACCAGGTGGATATAGGGTAGGGAGGTATTAGTGTTGGTGGGGATTGGTCCACCATAGGTGGGTGCTCCCCATGGCGGCACTTACGTACGCATTAACTCATATACTCGTTGGTTTCCTAGAGGCCAGCTTCCCAGCCGACGTTGGGCAGCTTCCAGTGATTGAGATTTGTTTGTTATGCCTTCAATCTCAGTAGCGGTTAATAGGCCCATTTACCTTCAAGGTGTTATATTTGTCCGGTTAGCAGGTTGGGCTCATGGCTATATTACTTTAGTAGCCACTCGACAACACCAATACATATACAGGATCTACAGCCATCTGATCAAAGCCCCTAACATTAAGCTTTAGAGTCCGGAATATGTTCCTATCCTACGTGCGTAGACGCATATACCGGCCCACCCTGAGTGCCACACGCCACCTGCCCGCTTGATCCGTTGGATGCCCTTTGTCCATAAGTACCAAGTGCGTCGAGTGCAGCGCACAGAGAGTCAAGTGAGGAGTTACGCCCTAGATTTGATAACTTAAACCTCTATTCTTTTACCATGAAGTTGCTAGAAGGACAGTCATTAACGCTGCCCGTGGTCAGCGCGTTGCTATTACTATGGCTTCTATACCGCACCATTCTTTTCTTCCGGTTCCATCACAAATACAACTTTCCCAATCTCGTGCCCGGAGTCCCTCTGTTTGGGAACATGCTGCAAATCCCAACCGACACGGCAGAGCGGCGCCTGTACCTCCACAAGCTGGCCAAGAAATACGGTGAAATGTATGTCTCAAAGGTCACAGAGAAACCAGCGCTAACGACTCATCTGGTCCAGGTTCACGCTCAAGGTGGGCTCCAACTACTGGGTGTTCATGAACTCTCAGCGTGTTGCAAATGAAATCCTCGATAAGCGTGGGGCGCGGTACATTTCGCGGCAGAATCTGCCCATGCCCGGAGACGTTGCCTCTGGAGGCAAACGCGTCGTCTTCATGCCCTACGGCAACCTTTGGAAGTAGGAGCGCAAGGTCATCCACGAGATCATAGGCCCTAGAAACCGCAACGTGTTTGCCCCTCTGCAGGATGTCAAGTCTCGAGCGCTGCTCCATCAGTACCTTACCGAGCCGGACCTGTGGAACCAGGCTCACGCTCGCTACGCCAGCTCCCTCATCATGAGCATGGTGTTTGGGCGAAGAACCAAGCTGGGCGACCCCAATGTCGATAGGATCATTGAAACCAACAACGAGATCATGAAGATGTTTGAGCCTGGCTCTAACTTGATCGATTCCTTCCCATTCCTGGCATCTATCCCTCTCCCGCGCTCGATTCAGCCATGGAGATGGTGGGGAGACAGCGTTTTCGAGCAATCCAAGAAGTATGCTACTACGTTATGCTTTCAAATTGGGATGAGTACTGACCTCGAGACAGGAACTTTATGGAAGAGTTCGAGAGCCTCGCCGAGCGACAGCGACAGGGCAAGGATGTAACCTGCTTTGTTTCCGAGTTCCAGAGGCTCGGAAGAGACAAGTCGCTTGATTATGAGTCGACGGTGTTTCTCGCAGGATCCCTCATTGAAGCTAGATCCGACACTACACGTATGGCTTTGAATCAGCTCATGGCCGGGGCAGCACTCTTTCCTGACTCGGTGCGGCGTGCACGACAGGACCTGGATGAGGTTTGCGGTGCTAACGCTGAGAGACTCCCGGTTGCGAGTGATATTGCCGATCTGCCCTACATCAAAGCGGTCAGCAAAGAAGTTCTTCGATGGAAGTAAGGAACCTTCTACGAGCGCTGCGTTGCATGCTCTCTGAGGGCGCGATGCCGCACTTTCCATTCAGACCAGGCTGACTTATATCTCCAGTATCTCATTCCCCGAAATTGCCCATTCATTGATCGAGGACGACTCTTTCGAGGGCTACAACCTCCCAGCCGGAACCAACGTCATCTGGAACAGTTGGGGCGTGCACATGGGGGGATCTGAGTACGAGCAGCCGGAAAGATTCTGGCCCGAGCGATTCCTAAACGAGGACCTAGACAAGCCGCTAAAGGGGCACTTGGCCTTTAGAGCAGGTAAGTCGAGACACACGCTCTACCAGCATATCACTAACACAATAGGTGTTTACTAGGCCGTCGAGTCTGTCCCGGATGGGTCATCGCTAGCAACAGCCTTCACTTGCTGATCGCGCGCGTCCTATACTGCTTCGACTTCCACACGGTTCCGGGGCATCCGATCCCGGTCGGCAAGCCGTTTGAGATCAGCACAGAGAAGCCATACGAGGTAAAGGTCACGGTTCGAAGTCCGGCTCACGCTGCCCTGATCCAGAGGGAGTGCACAGAGGCAGCAAACATTGAGTAGATGCCGTCCGGAAAGGTTAGTCCTGTTGGGAGTAAGACGGCATAGATTTTGCACGCGATAGAGGGAAAGTATATGCCTACTAAGGGCTACAAGAATTAGAGGTATGGATGGTATACAGAATAACTTGGAAGGGGTTTCGAGAGCATGCTTGATTCCTCTGTCTGGTCAACAGTCTCTATTATCACGCCACAATTTGAACATCTTCAGGTGAATTCAACATGGTATAATATTATTGCTGATGAGGATGATGCTTCTGAAGGCGCATCTCAGGTACAGTGCTGTACTGTCTGAAACCTTGGCTTAGGTGGAATCACTGCGAGTTGTTCACCCGCATGACCTCAACGCACAATGTTCATAGTGATTCAACGGGCCTATGGCACGTCCCTTCAGCAAAAGTTGTGCAAATATGCTCTTTTCAGCCTGTCTTCGTTCCCTACTGTTCTACAAATCAGCTATTGCCTCCACCCCAGCCCACGCCCTCCTGATGACCTCCCTAATCAGATCTCTGTCGATATCTCTTGGGTTGGGGTAGGATTTGCTAACGGCGAGATCGGCTGCCTTATCGATATCTGTCTCCTTGAATCCTATGGATCCCAAGCTCCGGGGAACGCCTAGCTTGCGGAGCAGAGTATTAAGGCCGCGTAAAGCGTCACCATCGCTATCCGGAAACGCACCAGCAAGAATCTTCATAGCCTCGGGAATCTAAGGCGCATTGTACGCCAGTGCGTATAGGAGGATGATTGTGTGTGTTTCCGCATGCGGCAAATTAAACGAGCCACCTAATATATGGCACAGCTTATGATGGAGAGACATTCCAACGCTACCCAAGCATGTTCCGCAGAGCCAGGCTCCGTACTGGCAAGTAGAGCGAGCCGAAATGGAGTTGGCATCGTCAAGCAACTCGTACGCTCCTCTTGCGAGGGACTTGACGCCTTCGGTCGCCATGAGACTGACCATGGGGTTGATATTGGGAGCGTAAAGGGCTTCGACGGCATGTGCAAGGGCATTGACAAGGCTGGTGAGCGATATGGACAGTGGAAGCGTGAGAGTCAAGTCAACGTCGTAGATGACCGTCTTGGGGAGGATTGAAAGATTTGTCTGGGTTGTCTTGACGCCATCAACGGTCTCCCCAAGGATCGGAGTCACCTCACTACCGGCGTATGTGGTTGGAATGGCGATGTGGTAAATGCCTTTGCGGAAGCTGATGGCCTTTCCAAGGCCAGTGGTACTACCGCCTCCAATCGAGACCAGGGCGTCAGGCTGTTTCTCCTGGCAGAACTGGAGAGCTTTCTCGGTGATATCCAAAGGCGTATGCATCGTGGCCTCGGAGAAAACCCAGGTGGCTTCCATGTGGGGCTCCAAGATGGTGGTGATTTGTTTCGCTTGGTCGACTTGCTGAGGAGTCGAAAGGACCAAGGGCCGGCGAAAGCCAAGTTCTTCGAGGCATTGCGGAAGCTTTCGGATTGAACCACGTCCAAAGATAATCCTATGAGGCAAGGGGGTATAAGCGAAAGACTCCATTTTGACGCGTGGCAGAGTCAATCGATGGTGATGGTGGTGATAGTGATGGTGGTGATGGGAGTGATGTCTCGACATGAGCCGAGCGGTACGCCCGTACATCTTCATTTATGTTAAACCGGCAGTGAGCTTCGGTAGATCAGTCTTACTCAAACAACGAATTACCCGCCTGGCTTTTCCATACTATATGTCATCCCATGTTGTCTTCCTCGATAACACCCACCGAGCCATCCCCACCTCCGGCGGGGTTGCCCGACATCCGCTGCTTGCCCACCCGACGTTCAGGGTACAATTGATTAGCTTAATACCTAATGCTTGAAGCGCTTCCCATTCGAAGCACATCCATAATTCACCAACTGCCGGAGTACAAGTCACCATATCGCACACTCGCCCTGATATCCCCCCACTGAAGGATCTTACGACCGAAAACATCACCGAGAATGTCGTGGCCATAAACTCTACTTGCAAGGACCCTCGAACCCGCTTCCTCTTTGAGAGGCTCGCTCATCATCTTCATGATTTTGCCCGTGAGACTCGCCTGAGCACAGCCGAGTGGGAGGCAGCCATCCAATTCCTCACCAGCACCGGAAAGATTTACAGCGACACACGACAGGAATTGATTCTCCTATCTAATATCCTAGGCCTCTCTCTACTGGTTGATTCTATTGATCATCCTAAACCGCCTACGTCGACAGAGGGAACTATTCTCGGCCCGTTTCATGCCAATGGAGCTGAAAATGTGGCTTCCGGTGAAACCATTTCCCATGATCCAGAGGGAGAACCCCTCTTAGTCGTGTGTTCAGTAAGAGACTCGCAAGGGAATCCGTTGACAGATATCGAGGTTGATGTCTGGGAGACCGACTCCAAGGGCTTCTACGATATGCAATATGCAGATCGCGAAGGCTTTGATAACCGAGCGATACTACATAGCGATCCCCAAGGCAAGTTTCATTTCAAGGCTATTGTCCCGGTCCTTTATCCCATCCCCGACGACGGGCCAGTGGGTCAGCTCCTCAAGGTTCTCGGCCGACATCCCTACCGGCCAAGCCATATACACTTCAAGTTCAAGAAGGCTAGCTACGACCCGCTGATAACGTAAGCTATACCAATGCATACAACTCAAGAGTCTCTGCTGACATTAAAAGGGCACTCTATCTCCGTGGTGACCCGTATGAGACTTCTGATGCTATCTTTGGCGTCAAGGAGTCTCTCGTCGTGGACTTAACAAAGGTTTCTAAGACGCCGGGATTCGCAGAGATATATGGAGTATCAGGGAACACGAAACTACTTCAATATGACTTTATCCTCGTTTCAGAAACCGAGGTGGCGGCGTTGCGACATGCCAAAGCACTCAAGTCGGCTGGCACGCTCGGGACTGGTTTGAAGGTAGTTGACGGGAAGCTTTTCTATTAGGAAAGGTATTATCAACCAAGTTCATAGCCAAGTTTTTGTTTTGTACGAAAACATCAATAGCCTTGGCCCATTCGCGATCTGTGTGCTGGGCGACGTGCCTGGGGAATTGTCTTAGAGAATATTGACTCTAAGCGCCACGTCTACTCTATCTACAAGTGTCCGACCCGTTTATGAAGGATTGAAACCAAACTATATAGGGTAGAGAAATATGAGGGATCGTACTCTTGGTCTGTCTCGTCTCTAAGAAGACATCTTTCTTTGGCGTTGCCTGGAAGAACCATGGAGCGACGACACATATTGGCAATAGGCTGCAGCGAGAAGTCATATGTGGCGCTTTGAAAATCCGCTTTGCGCATATGCTTGACTGTTGGGCTTGGTTACTGTACTCGTTATGCTATTCTACGATAGATTCATATCTACGGTGTGGCCTCCCCTCCAAACCTTCAACCCCTGCGCAAAGGTAGATAAACCAGATTTCTGAGTGGCCAGATGCCCTGCTTTCCAGGAGATAGGATGCCATTTGGATCCACGGCAGCCTAGTGACGAAAAATTAGAGTCAGAGATGCTTTGCGGCTATGATCGCGACGCACCTTAAGAGTCTCGACGAATCTTCTATAGATATGACCATTGAACCCATATAGGTTCTGGACGGCGTCTAGGAATAATTAGCAACTCTCTCCAAGTCTCAGATCAAGGTCAAGTGGAACCTACCCATGTGCTACACATGGGACCGATAGTTAGCGAACCCATTCTTCTCTGCCTCGGTAAGCAGGGCCTTGACAACCTTGCGGCCACCCTCACGGGCCTTGGTACTAGTCTTGTCAAAGACGTACTCCTGAACAAAGAGGATGTACTTTGAGAAGACGTGACAACCAATGAATGGGTCAACACCCTGCTCCTCCATGATGGCCTTTGCCTTTCGGAACCACGTCAAGACGGTGTTGCCCTCACACGGAAGGATGAGGGTAGTGTCGATGTGCGCACCCGCTCCTGTCCCATCGGCAGGAAGGTTATAGTCGGCGAGTTTCACGGCGAGCATTGAAGGAACACCGGCAGGGAGTGTTCCGATCTCGCTATTGTCCACAGGCCTGCCATCCTTGCCCTCGTAGAGCTTATGCTCGGTCCAGGCGTTGGGAAGATTCTGGGTGACAACTTCCTGTATCCTGCCCCAGCGGGCAACCACCAGCTGCTTGGGTCCATACAGGGACACTTAGCATCGCCAGTATCCCGTGTTGTACTTCTTCTTCAGAGCGGCGATACTCTCAGGAGTCAATGGGCCGGGGACGCTCTGCTGCGCATGCTTGGGCGCATCATGAGAGGCAAAGTGGTTGATGTTGGTGATCATGCCGTGGCTCTACGTGATCCCTTCACGATCCAGCTACTGGAGTGTATCGATGAGGGGAGCAATATCCTCGACCTCGGGACAGTAGACATTAACGCCCATGAAAGACGCTGGGGCCACGTCGAGGGCCACAGCCATCTTTGTGACAATGCCCAGGTTGCTCTGCAGGAAGAGGCCATCGACCTGAGGGCCGAAGCTATTAGGGCAAGCATATGCGCTGGGGGAATTAGGCACAGCCCACTGGCCAGTTCGGAGGACATCCCCCGAGGCCAGCACCACCTCCAGGCTGCCGATGAAGTGCTGGCGATCTCCCGAGATGGTATAGCCGTGGCCGCGATCTAGAGTCTGAGAATCGGTTAGCAGAGAGCAGCACCATCGAGGGAGGGAGGTGCCTTGCATTTCCCACCACACTTCCCCAGCCCAAAGCCGGGACAGAGACCCAGAGGTCAAGCTTGTTCTCGACAAGGTGGTTGTAGACATCGAAGAAGGTTACACCAGGCTCGACCACGATGTAGGCCAGCTTCTCGTTGACTTCCAAGATGCGCTTCATGCGCTGGAGAGAGAGCACCATGGATCCAGCAACTCGAGGTGCAGGCCCACCATATCTACAAACAGTGAGCAGCACGATCAAAGATAACACAGACTCTCTGCTAGGCTTACCCAAAGTTCTTTCCCTGTGAGCAGGTCCACATGGGGACTTGGTGCTGGTTGGCTATCTTGAGGATTGCCTGGATTTCCTCGACAGTAGACGGGCTAGAATATTGTCAGTAAGCTGTTATCGCCTGGGTTGAAGCGTCTGACCATAATCCAGCCGAGGCCTCGAACCCCTCCTCAAACAAGGGATACGGGTCACGGAAGTTAACCAGATCGTCGTCGACGATGACATTTTCCTGGCCAATGGCGGCTCGGAACTCATCTAGGACACGCAGGAAGCTCCCCTCGTCGTGGCCTGGGGGGAGGGTCCGCGTCCCTGGTCTCCGAGTTCCGAACGCATGGTCGTGATGCGATTGAAGCTCTGGGGATGCGTACCACTGAACCATTTGGAATCTGTTAAACTGTGTGGTAAGTGTTTGACAGTAAATAGAGAGTAAAAGGGTCTTGGGTCTTGGCTTTGTTGAATTCTAGTCTCGTTCGGCAAAGTCCATTATTAAGGATAAGCAGGTCCTTATGGACTTGAAGCAGCCGAATGGAAATGCCGGCCCCGCCAGCATGAACGGCTCCATATCTCCAACTACTCGGGCACCCGGTGGCACCCGTGCGTGCTAATCCCGTAGCGTCAGGCCATTCAGTGCGCACTGGTGGGGAGCCAAGTTTACCCACTCTGGGGTGGCGTGGAGATGCCACCTCGAACAATGCTCGGGGCCAAGGAAGCAACAAGTCGGCAGTTAGGTTCTGTAGCGGAAGTACGGTTCTTGATGGGGATATGATACTGTTGATATAAGAACCACACCGAGACTCGGGACTCCTTGTCTGCATCTCCACCACAACTATTCATCTCGTAACTACTGTGAAGAGACATCTTGATCATCATGGCGCACATCGTTCCCGGAGTCCCAGGCACCCGCTTTCCCAAGCACTATGCCATGAGCAAGTGGAACGAGGACCACCTGCGGTTCGAGGCTGACGCCTACGAGCTCGAGGTCATCGGAGAGATCCCCAGCACCATCCACGGGGCTTTCTACCGCGTGCAACCAGACCACGCGTTCCCACCCATCTTTGCCGAAACTGAGATCCCTCTCAACGGCGACGGAAATGTCAGCTCCTTCTACATCAAGGATGGCCACGTCGACTTCAAGCAGCGCTACGTGCGCACGCCCAAGCTCATCGCCGAGCGCGATGCCAGGCGGGCCCTCTTTGGCAGGTACCGCAACAAGTTCACGGATGACCCGCGCGTCCAGAACGTCCTCAAGGGTACCACGGCCAATACTCATGTTGTCTTTCATGACAACAAGCTCATGGCGCTCAAGGAGGATGCCCGGCCCATGGAGCTTGACCCCATCACCCTCGAGACCCTCGGCTATGTCGACTACAATGGCACGCTCAGCTGCCCAACGCACACTGCCCACCCCAAGGCGGACTCCACCACGGGGGAGCTGGTCTGCTATGGGTATGAGGCTGCCGGAGAGGCGTCCCCGGATATCTGCTCCTTTACCGTCGACAAGGACGGCAAGCTCTCAGAAGAAGTGTGGTTCAAGGCGCCATGGCCCTGCATGATCCACGACTTCTGGGCCACCGACAACTGGGTCGTGTTCCCCATCAACGGCCTCAAGGCCAGCCTGGAGCAGATGAAGAGCGGCGGTGACCACTTCTACTGGGACGAGAACCTCGACTACCAGCTTCTGGGTGTCATCCCTCGGCGAGGCGCCAAGCCCGAGGACGCCAAGTGGTTCAAGACACCCCAGGGCTGCTACTCGCACACCATCAACGCCTACGAGGAGGATGGCAAGCTGGTCCTGGATGCCAACGTCTGGACCGACCTGCACTTCCCCTTCTTCCCAAACACCAAGGGCGAGAGGTTCTTCACCGACCCCAGAAAGGTCAAGGCGCCCATCGTTCGCTACCGGTTCGACCCCAACGCCAGCACTGACAAGATGATCCACCCCGAGGGTGTCCTCGTCGACGGCGTCAACGAGTTTGGCCGCATCGACGACCGCCTCTTGGGTAAGAAGTACTCGCGCGTCTGGATCTTGAAGGTCGACCCTACCCATCAAGTCAAGATCAACGACCACGAGACTGCCAAAGGCAACGTCGGCTTCAACACTCTGGTGTGCTACAACTTTGAGACGGGCGAGCTGCAGTCGTACCGCCACGGGGACGATTCCACCTTCCAGGAGCCCGTCTTTGTGCCGAGGTACGAGGGAGCTGACCCCGAAGACGGCTACATCCTCGTCGTGGCCGACCGATATCGTGAAGGCCGCAACGTGGTGCTGCTATTTGAGGCCTTGGACATCACCAAGGGGCCCCTGGCCGAGATCAAGCTGCCTTTCAAGCTGATGGACGGCCTCCATGGTAGCTGGGTGGATGGCAAGGAGGTCGACGCCGCCAGGGAGGCGAGAGAGGCACGGAGAGCGAATGGAGTTGCAAACGGGCATTAGGATTGGACCTTCACTTGATTCTGGTACTCGTCCTGACAAAGCAGTATGCTCTTCTTAAGATACAGGTACAAATCCAGGCCGTTGATGGGGGGAGGAAGCTCGGGTAGGCATCTCAAGCAAGGGCATCATTTACAGTCACTACCGCAGACCGAAAAACATGCAGGACGTTGAGATACGAAGAAAGATGTGTCCTGTTTTCCGAATTGCCTTGCATTCCGATACGTTCCGTTATCTAAGGCGTCCTGAAGTCTATCCGCAGCATCGTGATCAAAATGAGTATCTGAATGGTCAGATCATTGCAACTCTTGTCTGATCTTTCGCCACTTGTGAGTGTTGACGGCGGGTTATCGGGAGTTGGTATAGTTACAGTCGATCCCACCTCCACATTGTTCACTCAAACATGACATTTATTACGGTCAGTCAATCAAGTGATCCAGCGATTGTACATCATTCTATTCCAAGACACCTAAAAACGATAGCTCATCTAGAATATGCTGGATCCACCACTGACGGGGATATACGCGCCGTTGATCCAACCCGCCTTCTCCTCAGCCAAGGTTGCAACAACCCATGCAATCTCCTCAGGTGTACCCACACGCGCAGCGACAGGTGTAGCGTCAATCATCGGCTGCAGTGCCTCTCTGACGGCGCTGGGAGCAGCGAGAAAGGCATCTGTGCCGACAGGGCCGGGGGCCACGGCGTTGACGGTGCATCCGTACTTGCGAGGGAGCTCCGACGCCCAGCACTGGGTGTAGACCTCGACGAGCCCCTTGGTTCCGGCATAAATGCTTGATTCCGGCCCCGGTGTGCGGGACACGGAGCTGCCGATGTTGATGATGCGCGAGTTCTCGTGTGAAAGGTGCTTGAGGACGGCGCGGGTCAGGAAGAAGACGCCTCTGGCGTTGAGGTAGACAATATCATGCCACGTCTTTTCGACCTTTGCGTCGTCAGGATCGTCGAGAAACGTCGGACGGTTGATGCCAGCGCTGTTGACCAGGATGTCCATCTTGCCAAAGGCCTTGGCCGCCGCATCAGCAAGCACCCGTGGCCCCTCTGGCGTTGAAAGGTCTGCTTCTACAGCGACAGCTCGGCTGGGTTCGCCAAGGCTCTTGAGAACATTGTCTGCGTTGGCCTTCTCACTTTGGTTGGGATAGTTGATGACCACAGACGCCCCGCGGCTGAACAGCTCCCGGGCGATGGCGGCGCCTAAACCCGCCGAGGAGCCGCTGATCAGAGCAACCTTGCCGGCCAGTGTTGACATGATGGAAACTGCTGTCGAGGTGGAATGTGTTGTGGAGAATAAGAACAACTTGCGGAGACGTAGCTTGGTGAGTGACTGGTTTTGAGTCGGGACGAGGGATTACTGACTGCTCTGGCTATATAGATGGATTAATGGATCGATGGATAGATACAGCGGGTACACCGGTGGATAAATCTCTTCTGCGGTGGTGAATTAAGAGTTTGGGCTGATACTTTGAGTGGCTGGGCTAATCGTAGAGAGCGCTACCCACCAGGGTAGGGAGTTCAATGGCCAACAATGAGGCATGAACTATAAAACCATGGCACACATTGGGAATCATTTCATGCCCTAATAGGTACCTCTACACAGAAGGAAGGAATACAGAAAGATCTACAGACTTTGCCGTACTCGTCGTTATCGGAGCCGGGCTGGGTGGACTCGCCGCCGCCCTCTCGGTCAAGCAAGAGTCGCCTGGCCACGATGTCCTCGTCGTGGAATCGGCTCCTGTGCTAGCTGAGGTGAGTTCCACTGGGGCCTGTAACCCTATACAGCAGACGCTGACATGTTGGGCCCCCTAGATCGGTGCAGGTCTTCAGCTCACACCGAATGCGACACGGCTGCTTCTTCGTTGGGGTCTCAAGCCTGGCCTTGAGAAGCTGGCGAGCAGCCCGGAAGAGTTCCTTGTCCGCCGATTTGACGGCCGTAAGCTTCTTGGCGAGCGCCAGAACTTTGCCGCAGAGATGCTCGACAAGTATCGGTCTCCCTACTGGGATATGCACCGAGCCGATCTACAGCTAGCAATGTTTAAGCGGGCCAAGAGCCTCGGCGTCCGCTTCCAATTCGGTACTCTGGTAAAGGATATGGATCTTTCGATTCCCCAGTTGACCACCGACAAGGGTGACAAGATCACCGGAGATCTAGTAATAGCTGCAGATGGTAGGATCCCCCAGCTATCATATTACTACCTAAGCTAACACGGAACAGGACTCTGGTCCAACACCCGATCCAAGGTTCTCGGTAGGCCCAGCCGTCCCATAGCGACGGGGGACCTCGCGTATCGCATTGTCCTCAAATCCGAAGAAATCCAGGATCAGGAGCTGCTCGACTTCATGAACAAGCCCCGGGTCTGCCTATGGGTTGGCCCAGAATGCCACGCCATCTACTACCCTCTTAGGAACAACACCATGGCCAACATTGTCCTGCTGGTTCCGGATAATCTGCCAGACAACGTGGCCAAGATGCCAGGTGACCTTTCCGAGATGAGGGAGATTTTTGACAAGTGGGATCCGCTGTGAGTTGACAGCCATCGCCACCGATAGATACATGCTGATCGATAACCCCAGGCTGCAAAGGTTCCTATGCCAGGTCAACAAAATAGAGAAGTGGAAGCTAATGCATCGTGAGTGCCACGGAAGCTTAACTCTCGGCCCTATCTAACGCTGCATAGTTAACGAACTGGAGCGCTGGTACAACGAAGAAGCCACGGTCGTATTCCTAGGCGATGCCTACCACCCGATGCTGCCGTACATGGCACAGGGAGCTGGCTCTGCTATCGAGGACGGTGCCGCACTAGGCACCCTTCTTTCCAAGATAAAGAGCAAAGAGGAACTGCCTAGTGCTCTGAAGACGTATCAAGACCTGAGAGTCCCCCGGAGCACCGCCCTACAGAAGTGGAGTATAAAGCAGGTAAGTCTACAATCTTTGACAAAGAGGGAGTCAGAGGAGAGAGCAGGCGGTTGAAGCGTGATGCAGAGACACATCAACCACTTGCCTGATGGCCCAGAGCAAGAGGCGAGAGATAAGCTCGCCGAATCTCAACTCTACGATCAGCAACCCGGATACCCATTCTACTGGTATGCATCGCCGAAGCTTGACAAGATCTGACTGAGGCTGACATGATTGTTAGGATTGACCCAGGCGCACAGGACTTTGTCTATGGATATGATGTTATTGCTGAGGTGAGTACGAGGGGACATTCATATTTTGGTTCATATGCTTACGTTGTTGGAAAAACAGTTGAAGAAGCTTGGGGTCGAGGCCACAACACACAACTAATCAGTCTAGAAGACTGCAGTGACTGGGTTTGAGTGGGGAATGGATGAAGAATTTACTTCAATTGTGAGAGCTATATGTGATACAATAGATACATAGCGGAAACCTTGGGACAGTCCCGTATATATAACGTACGTGATAAATAAGTCGGAAAAAAATCCCTTAACGCCCCTTCTTTTTATTTAATTAATTATTTCTTAACTACTAAATATATCATAGTTAAGTAAAGAGATAAATATTATCCTTGCCCTTTAGGCTCTTTAAAAGAACCCGAAATTATATATCTACCCTATTATAAAGATATATAAGGTCCCGCTTAGTACCCTCTATGTCTAATATTATAGTAAACCTTCTCGAGGCGATATTATCCCTAATTTATATAAACTATCTAATCTAGAGGAATAGATTATTATTAATTATATTCCTAACCTAGACTCTTAAGGGTTTCCTCTATAACTTTATAATATTAAAGAAATAACTAATTAGCTATTAATTAATTATAATATATTACTTATTAATAAGTACTAGGCTTTTAATTTTATTAAGTAATACTTAGAGCTTAAGATATATTTTTATAATAGATATAATTATTAAAGAACTAAATATAAAGATTTATTTAGTATTTTAAAATAATTCTTATTTATAAAAAATATAATCGCGAAATATAATATTACCCTTATTAATATTTATAACTTTAATAAAATTAGCTTTATAATAAGTATAATTATAAATAAAATAATTATTATAAGTATAAAAAAATTAAAAAAATTAAAATTAATTTAACTTAGAAATTAAAAATAAGTTATAATTATTTAAGCTATTAATATAAAAAGCTAAGTAATTTAATTATTTATTATAATTATAAGCTAATATTACTTTATTAATTAATACTAAAAAAGAACCTCTTAAGTAATTAAGTTATTATTATAATTAAAAATAATTAATATAATATACTTAATAAATAAATATTTTAAATAAGTAAATATCTTAAAAATCTTAACCTCTATAATATAAATTATAATAAAATTACTATAAATTATTTAATTAATTAAAATTATTTATTATATTTTTCCTTAGATATTTTAATTATTACTTAATAAGTCTTTATATTATAGCTAGGCTTACTATAAATATTATAATATTAAATACCTAATTATAATAACCTTCCTTAATTACTACTCCTTAATAATTTAGCTATTACCTATATATTAACCTCTATTTAATTAATTACTTATCTTTTTTCTTTTATTATTATTACCCCTCTTTTTTATAATTTAGTCTTTTTTACCCTTTAATATTAACTTAATATCTTATTTATTTCTTAAAGGTCTTTAACTTTAGCTATTAATAAGGTAACCTTATATATAATAGCTTTTATTTCTTTTATAAAAAACTAAATAACTTTAAGAATTAAGTCTAAAAAGCTATTTTTATACCTTTTAATTTATCTCTTA